GACAACTTTATAAATAACTTTCTCTGTGTCTGTATCTCTGTGTGTGTAGGTTCTCCAGTGGCTGATAGTGCACTCTGACACCATTCAGTCCCTGTTGCGCTGTCCGGAGCTCAGTATGGGAGCTTTGCAGGAGCTCTCCTTGCTGACTGGCATCATCAGTAAGACAGCTCTGCCAGGTAAAATAATAAACACTCCATCGACTCTTTTTTTTATTCACTTTGCCATCTATTTTATTTCCATTGTGCAAATAAACACATCAGACTATGAACAGTGTTTTTGATGTCCTGCTTGGCCTCCCAGGGGCCCTTGAGTCAGGCGGTGAGGTCAACAGTGCGGCTCTCATGGAGTTCCAGGGTCACATCAACAGATTCCAGGTGAGACAGCTGCTTTGGTTTTTTATTATGATAGTATAGATGTTTTTTTCATGTTCGCTATTCCTAGTAATACACTATCAAATGCATGTATAGTAATGTGTTTCTTCTTTCTTCAGCGTCTCTGTCTGTCCCTGCTTGGCCGTCTGGCGGGCAGCGAGAGGGAGAGGTTACTGAAGCAGGCCGAGATCTCTGCGCCTGCTGACTCAGCAGAAAGACGAGAGGAGATGGAGGTGGCCATGCAACAGGTATGAATTAAAACAGCCTATAAATGAGCTTCCTCCCTTGAAATGTGTTTTCATAGTCAGAAGTAACCAACTTTCCTTTCACATATTACAACAGCAAGACAGGGATGGGCGGAAAGGGATAGATACACTGACACATTGTGTGTTGTATGCTTAGTCATGATTACTCATGAGTACTGCGTTGTCGATGACCTGCTGTCCTCTGTCCTCAGGTGTGTGCTAACATCATGGAGTACTGCCAGACGCTGCTGCTGCAGAGCTCGGCGCAGGCTCAGTTCAGCATCTGCCTCTTCAGCCCGTCAGGCAGCGAGCCAGCGGGCCGGGACGGGGGGCGCGCAGGTCAGTGATGATCTGCATTACAAGAAACAATGGAGGGAGTCTGACTCTGTATACAAGGCAGACTTTTCTACCTGCTATTAAGTGAATTAGTCCGCTTCCATTTGTCATACGTTTTCAGTGTCTGACAGCTGATGGATGAATCTAGAAATCCAGAATCTTATGAGGCATTTTTAGCTTTTACAGCAAGAGACCTTTTTATTATTAACACCAAAGTATGAAACTGAACTGTGGCATTTTGTTTCAAAGATCTCTCATCCGCTCTGCCATCAATGGCGTACTCCCGGGCCCCCAGCCTGGGTCTGGTCATGTACTTGCTGAAGAACAGCGCTGCGGATTTCTTCCGGTTCCACCAGAGTCACAGACAAAGCCTGGGCAAGCTGCAGAGCCTGGATCAGCTGCCTCCTGACGAGCTCAAGGAGGTAATGAGGAACCAATACACTGATTCACGTGGCTCACACTCAACACACTGCTGATCAGTTTTTTCACTTTGATAAATGATGAATAGTAGAGGTTACAGTAAAAAGAGGTGTGAATAATGAGCATCTGTTCTTTATATTCTGCACATCTTTGGCTCCAGCATGCACTGTCTGCCGTTTCTAACCACAGACATCTTCTCTGTAGTTGTGCCAGGGCCTGGTGTCGGGCCCCGGAGGCGTGGAGAAGATCTCCTCAGTGCAGAGGAGCCTGCTGGCCAAGAGACGACTCGTCCAGCTGATCAACAACAGAGCCAAGCTGCTGGCCCTGTGCTCCTGTATCCTTTGGCCCTTTGCAGGCCCAGGTTTAGTCCCTGGACTTTGTGTATTTGTAGAAAAGCCACACCATGGATTTCTGTGAAATGCCTTAACCTGCCTCCTCTACAGATGTTATCGAGACGTGTTTGTTTGTACTGTGGCGCCACCTGGAGTACTACCTGTTGCACTGTACTCCCACCGACCCCAAGGACTCCCCGATGCCTGGAGCCAGTTTGTATAGATCTCGGCTCACAGACGGTAAGAGGCAATCTTATATACATATTTATATATTAGACCCTCCAGAAAAACGCGGGCTAAAATCCTTGATTATGCGGGCTAAAATCCTTGATTATGCGATTAAACATGCGGGGTTTTTATGTGATTTTATGCGGTGAAGTTGCGAAATATGCGGAAATATGCTAAATATGCGAAATATGCGGGAGGCGGAAAAAAGGTGATTCTTCTCCCACACCCTGTTACTAGGCTACTACTGAATGAAAGTGAGCCCTTTTAAAGAGTTCCTATGATAAACAAGCATACTAGAAGCAAGCTACATCACAAAGTGTTATTTATGTATTTCTATATGGGCTATTTTAATCACTCTCTCTCTCTCTCACACACACACACACACACACACACACACACACACACACACACACACACACACACACACTCTTCTCCGCCTCATTCTGTTTTCATTTACTCGTTCGTTATCTGACCAGCTTCAATCTTGTAGGCTACTCACCTCGTTTCTTGTAGCCCTCGAAAGGGTTTTGGAGGTTGATGCCTCGGTGAACGCGAGTTGTTTGACTTTCTTGTCCGCAGCAGCAGAAAGCATTTTAGAATGTTTGAATGAATCAAAGTGGGTCGTCGCCGTCGATTTTCTCTTATGCTCCAACACACAGTTGCACGGGGTGCAGAATAGTTTCTCCCCACTTTCGCGCAAGACATCGGGGTACTGCTTTGCCCGGTCTTTAGCAGAAATGTTCGTAGGCAAATGAGATGGATTCGATTTGTTCATCTTAGTCAGAGCCGTATAATAGTATAATGGTATATAATAATAATAGTATAATAGTATATAATAATCTATATGGCGCTGATCTTGTTGTTTTCTCTCTCGTGTGAGTTCCACACATTCACTCTACGGTGTTGTTTACCTGCGCGAGCTGATGACATCACTACTTCACGTTAACTTTTTTTTTCCTCAACTTTGTGTGGAAAAATGCGGGGATTATGAGACCTTTTAATAAATATGCGCCCTTTTAAAAATATGCGCCATTTTGCTGATTATGCGGTAAATTATGCGATCGCATAATCGCGTTTTTCTGGAGGGTCTAATATATGCACATCTTTATAAAAGATTACTTTTTAATTTTTATTAAACACATTACTAGCAGTTTTCAGACCTTAGCCCTTTTCGCACAGGACCAGCATTACCAGATCACCTCAAGTCATTTATGGTGCAGAAATCTTAATCATGTATGAATCTGCCATATCTGAAATTACATTTAGTTTTTGTAAAAATTGCATAACATTGCCCTCAAAAGAAATCACTTCATTTTGTGGAAACTTAAAAGGCTCATTCGCACAGGCACCAGAGCAAGAGGTCTTGTCAATATTGTTTTATAAAAAAGATTAGACCATATAATATATCTAACATTTATAATATGTAGGTGTTGCCTAATATCCTGTGAATAAAGTCAAATTAAAAGTCAAATTGCAGACTTCCTGTGCAATATGCCGTCATTTCTCCATCCCATAGGACATGTCCATCATGCCTCAACATGAAATTGAGGTTGAAATAAACATTGTCCTTAAGTATTGTGTTATACTAGTCCTGTGCTAGTAGTGCTCTAGTTAGGACACTTCCCTTGTGAAGCTATTGATTGCAGTTAAGCTAAATCTGACAAATCTAATTATTGATGTTCTTCAGATTCCTTTGGCGGGCTGCAGGGAAGCGGAGGTCGCGTCCTCGGTCTATCTCGGGTCAGCCAGCAAGACCTGGACCTGGTAAGAAACAGCGCACACACTTTGAATGCTGCCCTGAGAAACATGTCCTGCATCTGTAAAACCACCTCCATTATTCCTGAACCTCTCCCTCCTGTCTTATGCTTGTGCCCCTCAGCTGAAGAGCGACATGGCCACAGGTTTCGGAGAGGCTCTGCAGAGGAAGCTGCTGGACGTGGAGGGTCTGTACAGCCAGGTCCGCTCCCGCTACACCTTCATCCAGGCCCTGGTCCGCAGGGTCCGCGGCCTGCTCCGACAGCCCAAGAGCTGAGGAGACACGCAAACACAAAGACTGTCCAAGAGCCACATTCTCACCTGGACTCAGAAACTCTGCCGCGCAACATCAGAGAACCAAGGACTCCGACTTTATGTCAGCTAGCTTCTGGCTACATAGCTCCTTCTGACTGACCTGTAGCAGCTCCTCTATGGAATATTGTGGGATGGTAACGTGATATCACGTGACCTAATTATTTTTGACAAGCGCTTTGTAAGGAGCGTTTCTCAAAGAAGTGAGAAAGGATAACACACTTATGACATTTTTACTCGTTAAAAATATTTGATATTATTTGTTTGGTCTGATTCCTCTCCCTCTTTTTCTTTTGTGAAATTAAAACGTTTTCTAAATCTGCTAATTACTTGTCCTTTGTGTGTGGACTGGGCTATAAAGGGCAAACAGGAGTCACTATCTGCCGACATGCACCCAGGTGAGAATACTGTAAATGGAAGGTACTTCCTGTTCAGCTTTCTCACTTTGACAGATGTCCCCGTTCTTTAGGTGGTTACCAGACAGACTTCACTTTTAAGTGCATGTCTGGCATAACTCAAAGTGAAACACTTCTTATCAGGAGACTCAAAACAAGGAACCAAAACGAGACGTTCCTTTTTTGAAAGGGGCTCTTTGTGCTCTGTGTGCCTCTACCTTCACATGTTTACATGCTTAAATGTTCAAAAGGGTCTTTATTTACTCAAACTTACCCTCTGTCTGAAACCAGAGCCCAGTCTGCTCTGATTGGTCAACCGCTTAGAGGCCATTAACATGCAGAAAAACCTTGATATAACAGGAAATGAAAACCCCCCCAAAATATAAGGGCCCTTTAAGGTAGCATCACAATGAGTGGTTTGAGTTACCATGATAACACATTGGTATATTATAACAAACAAGAACCCCATATCATATTTAATCTTGATCATTTTTCTTTGAAGGTACACTTTAAGACTGTAAAGTGCGTCGATTCTCAAACCTTTTGTGGAGGGTGAGGGATGAGAGCATACAAATCTGGATATATATTGAGATATTACAGACGGGAAATCTTGTGCTCTTGTCTTTTTATTTGAATACTGAAGGGGGGAGAGTCCGGGGGGGGGGAGACTCAGGTGAGCACCTGCATTGAGCGGGGGGAGTCGCTGTCACACTGAAGAACCCAGGTTTGATGTTAGTTTGAAAAAAGCTCCTCAGAAAAAAATACGATCTACCTACTGCGCTTCTTAGTTGACAGTCAGGGTACACATTTGTGCTACTTTTAACAGATCATGCTTGTCATACTCTATAAATTACTTTAAATAATAAAATTAATTACAGCATTAAAAAACACATTTACATTTCTCGCTGTATCTGTGATTGTTCCTCGTTCGCATCTTTATAGAAAAACGTGATGATCCCGGTCCGTCTCTCACATCCTCAGTTTTGGGCCATATTAATTACACATGATTGCAGGGGGCCATTTTAATTCAAACAGCACTGTCGAGGCCTTAGGGATGGGCGAAGTATGACAATACATAATGTGAGACCGTAGAACTGATGAAATAGTTTCTTACAAAGTAGCTAAACATTTTAAAGGTGATTTGCATTTACAAATACATTACCTATTTGTACATTTTTCCAGGAATAATGCTACTCAAGCTGTAAATACAGTTGTGTGTTAGACTTTCACTGTAGAGGCATAAAGACTGACAGAATGACATCATCAGGGTAATCTTGAGTTAAGCTTTGGACTTTTTATACCTGACAAAGCATTGGTAGCAATCAGGTAAGGCCTAATGGAAGTCTATTGGGTTGCATCATGGGAAATGTAGGACTAGTTTATACTAGGGGGTATCTCTGCTTCAATCTGTCTTGCAGTCCTCCAACATTACTCGAGCTGCGGTACAAAAATTGCTTTATGTTGCAAACCAATGAGCAGGACTGACTTATTGTACGGGTAGTCAATTTGATCTATAAAAAAAATGTAGATACATTATCCCAATACGTATTGCCATTACGATATAAAACTGTAGGAATTCGTTTTTTTACTATGTTAGGCTGCCCATATATTTAAGACTGGTTACTCCTTTAGCTTAATAGAAAACACACAACATGCAACCAGAGTTTTGGTTAAAAGTGAATCATTTTCACTGAGGGATGAGAAAGGGAGCTGGGACCATCATTATCCAAGCACAAGACCATTTTCCCAGTTTTGGATCCATCTTCTCAAGCAAAGAAAAAGTGGAAAACTGTAAATACTTTGTTATACTTAGACATTTTCTATGTTATCAAAACAACATTTGGGATTGATTTATGTACAGAAAAAAACATTTATACTGTACAGGTACAGAGTTGAGTCACAGCACCGTCTGGAACGTCCTTTAGCTTTGATTCACTTCCTGTACAGCGCTGTGGAAACCCACTGTGGTGGCTCAAGAGGAGCTGACTCGGATTGAAAGTCTTTGAAGACTGAGTTTGAGCTGTCTTTTATAGTGCCTGTTGGAGAAAAGTCACTCAATCCTGACAGCTCTAGTGTTGACTGCACCAGAAACATCCTTTAGTAATCCAGCACGGTTCTAGCAGTGAGTCAGAAGTGTGAACAAATACAGGAAATAACGGGAGCATATCCAGCACTGATTTATCTCGTTGTCTTTAGAGGACAGCATAGAGAGAGTTCGTTTGTGCTTGCAGTGCACATCCTGTCTTTCTGTAGCATCTCCACAGCAGTTAGCTTGTAGTAAACACACTTCTATGAGCTATCAGTACTGGCTTCCTGTGTGTTGTTGTTGTCCGTCACGTTGGCGCTGCCCCCGTCGGTCTGAGGGCACTCCGGCACCTCCCCCCTCACCGCCACTCGGATGACTTTCAGCCAGCGCTGCTTGAGCTCCTCGGTTTCAGCGACAAAGCTGTGGATGGACTTGGACTGGGTGAGGCGGAAGACGGCGGGGGGGTCTGTGGCCCGGGCGTTGTCGTCCACATTGTAGCCCAGCAGGGGGATGGTGCACTGGGCCTTCACGTCCTGAGGAGGGAGGAGGAGGAGAGTGATGCATGAATGGATGGATTTCAAATTGAAATGGATAATGAAATGTATGCTTCATGTTGTTGGTGTGTTACCTGCGGAGCTCCGTAGAGATAGAGCACCAGTGACTCCTTCTCGGGGATGACGCACCACACTTTCTGCCAAGCTTTGGTCTTCTCACAGTACTGTAGGAAGCCACACATGATGCTGCTGCCTGTGAACTGAGCCGCCTCGATCTGCAAATTAGAAGAAAAAAAGGAGTTAAAAACGCAACATCTTTAAATCTATATTAATTATTTACAAAATCCTTATGATCCCAGCATTATACTGTTTTTCATCAATATATTATAGGTACACAAAACATGTCTCTGAAGTGTTTGGCTGAAATACCAAACAGATCATTGCAGCATCCCATAATCCCCTCTGTTTCAGCCCTGTTTCAAAAGTGCTGATTCTCTGTCTGTTACTTTAGATGAAAATAAGGAGCCACTCCCCACGCCCCTCTGAGAGAGATTTGGTTAAAAATAACACAATGTAAAAAAATAACATTTCGCTGTGTCCTTGGACAAGACACTTCACCCCAAATTGTTCCTGTGGGGATTGTCCACAGTATTGAATGTATTTAAGTCGCTTTGGATAAAAGCGTCTAAAAAGTGACATGTAATGTAATGTAATAAAAGACAAAGGATTTTCCTTTAATGTATTTATGTATCATTATATGGTCTTCACCTCCAGGATGCCCTTCTTCTTGCCCTCTGCGACCCCTTCTCCGGACAGGATGCGGTAGCAGTCCCTGCAGACTTTGTGCGTCTTGTTGTTGTCATATTCAAGATCCCACTTATTGTCGGAACATTTCCAGCACACCACCTGCAAGAAAGAAGAAGAACTTAATGTCAGAATACACCAAGCTCTAACAAAAATGATACCTAGTCTTTCAAATAAAGTACCTTCAAAAAGTATTGAAGTGTTTTTGGGGCATGGTAGCAGAAAGAAATGACAGCTTTTAAGAGCCCTTTGACTGTGTGACTTTAACATGGGGGAACATTTCATCGTCCTGTGAAAGCCCACGTATTGACTCTAATCAACAAAATGTATCTTTTTATTTATTTATTGGCTTATTCCAACATAAAACAGTTAAGGGTGGAAATACAGAGTGCAAGTGCAGACGCTGTAAAAATGGAAAAAATACCTAGGGGAAAAAAAGAATACAGAAGACCCCTTAAACCAGTCACAAAGTGTATTTGTTGGAACTGTAGATATGACATTTTGCACCAAAATCCATACGTTTATGATAAAAGGCAGGGTGTTATTGCAAAAATGTGGAAGTGCTGAAAATGGACTTTCAACCCACATATGAACTCTGGTTGAGATATCTTTTAGAAGTAGAAGAGGTGTTGTGTCTAATCTAAAGCACCTTGCTGTGTTTGATTCTATTTTGAACTATGTTTCCTAGGTTTCTACTATGCTATAAAAAATAATAAATACAAATAAGTTAGTGGGTCTTTCATTCAAATTGGACTATAGTCATCAACATTTGAGTTATTTGGTCAAAAGTAATCCAGGTAGGAAAAGGAGTGTGCTGTTTCACCTGTTTGTGAACTCCCCTTACAGATGCTCTCATCCACCTCCAGTACAATCTGCATAATGCATAACAGCATCAGGATTACTCACGTATCCGCAGGCTCTGCAGTGGTGCCTCCTCCGCGTCAGAGCGTTGAAAGGCTCTTGACACTTCATACACATTGTCACTTCATTGTCGCGGATCCAGCGAGGGGCGCGCTTCCCCAGCTCTGCGTTCTACATCAGGAAATAAAAGCATACTGAGTGACAGCGCAGAAAGGTGTGGACGGGTTTTTCTGTGTGAACAGCTTTGATGTGACACTGACCGACACTTCCTCCTCGTCTTTCAGTGCATTCTTGAATGACTCGTTTTTCTGCTGGAAGATCTCAATGGTCCTCTGGAAAGCCTGTGACAAGAACAGCAACATGTTACCTTCAAACACATGCAGTCAAACAAGAGAATAACATGATTCTGTGTATACTGTACGTACCTTAATCCAGCCTGCCTTGTCCTGCTCTGAGCTGAGGAGAAAAATAGCCACAATGAGTATTACAAATTATAAATGATATGTATACTAGCCAGAAGTCTCATTTTGTGTGTGTTGTTGTAATACTTATTTTGGCCACAAGAGACTTAAAGGTGGGGTAGGTAATTTTGGAGAAACCAGCTCGAGTGCGCTAAAATTTGAAAAAAAAAAAAAAAAAAAAAAGCCGGAGAAAAATCTGCCACTTCCTTACAGAGCCCCTCCTCCAACACACACGAACGCGCACATGACCAATGAGGGCACGAGATAAGTTTGTGCACAGATGGAAGGCTGACAGGCAGGTAGGCCATCCAGTCATTTTAGCCGGCCCGGCTAAAATAACTGGTTGTGCTTTTTACAGTATTACGGCTTCCACAGATTAATTTTTTTTATGGATTTTTTGTCAAAGCACTTAAGATATTCATTGCTATCGGGATGTTAAGAGCATTCCATGGAATATAACAAAAAGTGTCTCTCGAGCCGGTTTCTCAAACTTACCTACCCTACCTTTAAGTGCACTACTACATTAGGATCTATAAGGGACTCAAATCGTTCATGTTTCCAAGCTTAAAGACTGATCGAAAAATAATATAACTTGCTAACACACCATGTCAGTGTACCCTTGTGTTAAAAACAATTTGTTTTATGAGAAAAAGGACCCTTTTGTCTGTTTCAGATATAAAAACATTGAAATAAGGAATTTAATATTTATTATCCTGACAAAACAGTGTTGCACTTGTTCTGCAGGAGATACAACTTTTTGGATTGGACTTAAAAAACTGATGACCAGATTTTCCTATTTTCGTCTCAGGTTTTCCGTATAATCTGCATAAACACTTCGATAACCTCTTCTCCCGTTATGTATGTTTCTCCCTACAATGTACCTGGCCTGTAGCTCCAGCATCCTCTCCTTCCCGGACACCTGGAAGGTGTGAGGGTAGTCCTCGTTGTGTGTTTCCAGGACTTTCATGCCGTCGATGCCGATCCGCGTCCTCACCGTGTACTTAGTGCCTCCCAGACTGAATTTAGGCACGCAGTACAACAGCATGTCGTTGAACTGGCAGAAAAAGAAAACACAAACGTTTGGATCAGTGCATTGTTCATATCCAAAGGGGGCCGTCTTCAATACTGCAGGCAGCCTGAATTAAACAGATGGGAGACATTCATGCTGAAGCTAATAAGAAAAAACCCAAACGTAATCACATTATCTGGCAACCTCAGTGATTTAGAGTTTTCTCTATGTGCCCCTGATGCACTCTCACATGGAGGGGTTCCTGGCTCGAAATGATTCACTTGTTTCAATTGACAAAGTCTCGCCTCAGCATGTTCCCCTCATTAGATAAGGAGATGTATTTGTGCTTTCTCTCACCAGGAAGAGGTATCGCTCCATGGCCGAGGTGTTCCTGGCCGCCAGCTTCAAGATGTGGCCCTCTTTGATGAACTCGTTTGAGGGGTTTACAATGTCCTCCTCCTCACCCAGCATCTCGTATATCTCCATCAGTTTCTTCAGATTCTCCTACATTAGGATGGGGCGTTTATGTTCGAGTGATATTAATATGTCAACGAAATTGAGAAGTTGTTTAAAATGTCTGTACTTACAGATTTCCGTATAGCGCTGTTCGAGTGAGTGGCTGCTGTGGCGATTATTTCGATTGATTCTAAGGGAAAAAATAAACCGATTACATTAATATGGTGAATTCAAATGTGTTCCTTGAAGTGGGAATTTTGAGTATTTGGACTTACTCTCTGAATCCTGCCGGTCGGAGTCGTCCTGAGGCAGCTTCTTCAGATAGTCTTTTAGCAGCATCTCGTAGCGAGGGACTCTCTGCACGGGCTCCAACATGTGATGCTGAAGCGTCAGGCTGCCACACGCCTCCTGACTCTGTGCAGAAATAACCAAAAGAACGTGAGTTTGGACACTTATTTATTGTGATATTGTCAAAAACAATAATGTTTTTCACACGGGTAACACACTTTAGCATGAGTGTGTGTTTTTGTGTCTTCTGCTGGTAGTACCTGTATCTCCTGAATGATGCCCTTGAATTGAGGCGAGCGATCAGTCCAGGTTTTCAGCAGCTCCATGGCTTTCTCGAAATTCTTCACATACTCTGCGTACATCTTGAGGAAGGGTGTGAGTTTCAGCAGGATGTCTCCGATTCGAGGAGTGGCCGCCCTGCAGGGTGGGAATAAAGGGGGTACATTTGTTACAACCGCAATGAGGCAGTTTATTTAAATGTTCGTCATGAGTTTGATCTCATAATAAATAAAAATAAATTGCTCTTATTGTCATTTCACAGTACAGGTACTGTGTAACGAAATTGTTCCTCTGCATTTGACCCATCCTAGTGTTAGGAGCAGTGTGCTGCCGTGGACGGCGCCCGGCGAGCAGTGTAGGGAACGGTGCCTTGCTCAGGGACACCTCGGTAGCACTTGATCTTGCCGGGACTCAAACTGGTGACCTTCCAGTTGCCAAGCCAAGTCCCTATCGACTTCGCCACCACCACCATCCTCATCAATGACAGCTTATTATTGCAAAACAAAGTATCCTATTATTATTCAAGCATTCAAACATTAGTTTTCTGCTCATGGACAAACTTCATATCGAAATAATATGAATAGTCATCAAAGCCAAGTTCAAAGTAGTATAAAAGTTATAGTTTTATTGGTGTTATTTTCCTTTGATACAATATTTCATGTTTTAATTTTGAAAAAGTATGATAATAATTATTAATGTTTCCATGTATTTTATTTATTAATTTGTAGAATTCTGTTCTATTTTATTACTTATTCAAAGGTGTTATTCTTTATAAAAAAAAAAACATGGCAAAATCATCTTGAAAATGAAGCTTCACAATAAACGTTTATGTTTGAGACATTTTGAGTCAATATAAAAGGCGCTAAATGTACAACATCGACCCTGTTGTGTTTCTTGTGACTTAACGACAGGCTCACCATTCCCCCATGCGCTTCTCCAGATCTGGAAGCAGGAACTGGCTGTGGAAGGCGTGGATGGAGACGATGTTGGAGAAGATGTTCTTCACCACGTCCACAGGGAACGTTCCTTTGTTCGCCTCCTCCATCAGCTTAGCACAGAATACCTGTAGAGTGCATACAACATATAACAGGTAAGTGACAAATAATTGGAAAAGAGAAATCTAAAAACCTTTACTACAGCAGAAAAAGTAGTTCCTCACCTGGTCCAGCAGGTTCAGTCGCGCTACGTAGGCCTTCTCTGTGTGCAGGAGCTCGCTGGCGATCTTAAACAGCTTCTGTTCATTTGTCTCCTAAAAACAGAGGGAACATCAATGAGAATTTGAACATGTGTTTTAAATAACGTCTGCTAATGATGAGTTACTAAGTAGTGAAAGTGGGATTATTCTGTTGAGGTGTGTGAGCGTTTCAGTCTGATACTCCTCTTATGATGAGTCATTGATCTTGTAATCTTATAAGAAAAAAGGGTTGTATAAAATTGACCTGAGCTTACTGAGGGAAATGCAGAAGTGTCTGGAGCACACTCATTGTTTCAACTCAGTTTTCATTCTCACAACCTTTAATTTGCAAGTTCCTGTTTGGTTCAGGTCTCTCATCTCATAATGATGCTGAATCAGACAGTCATCAGAGGCTTTTTCTGCATTTTAATAACACAAATGTTCACTCCAAATCGTGCATTGCTTGTATTGATTCAGTGACACGCCTACTATTTGAGCCTTGTGTTAAATCCCATCTCACTGTTGCTGCGTACAGAAGCATGTAGCACTGGTGTGTGTGACCTTAACTTGCAGGGCTCGCAGAACAGGAAATGAAAATATGGAAGAAGGGAAATGGCACCAAATGGTACAAAGACAGAAACATGTCTGACAGAGTTGTGTGTGTGAGAGGCCAATTAGTTTGAGGAACATGTCAAATGTACTTAACTAAAACCTCACACATGCATACTGATGTGATGAAATGCCTGGACAGATTAGCAGCACAATGACCATGCAGCAGAATATTTCGCAATGTCTTTAACCACAACCGGAAGCAGTATCGTCCCCTTAGATTATCTGAGCTCAATCAGCCTCATATGTAACTTTAATCATGTGTCAATGCATCCATGTTGTTGCAAATACTTTCCTGAGATCCTTAATAAGTTATTCTTTCAAGTTAAGGCTCTTTTTATTTGTAGTTAAGACAAATGGATACATGCATGTGTTTTTATAGAGAAGCAGTGTGCATTAGCCCCCCTTCCCCCCCCCCCCCCCCCCCGCCCCTCGTGTTTCAGATGTCTCTTAGCTGGTAGCAGTTCCACCAACAAGTGAAACTGCATAACCTATATTTTTACTTTGCACATTGTACACATCTTCAAAGCCTTTTTGTGGCTCCACAAAACAGAGACATTTGCCTCACGTGACTTCACTTGAGGCAAATGTTCCTAGCTTTGACCAGCAACAAGAAGCATGCATGATATCTGCTGCATTCATTTAGATTTGTAATGGTTTACTGTGAATTGTAAGAACATTTTGCTGCTTATACTTCAGTGCTATCACTTAATTAGGATTAGTACATTTTTAAAGTAGAGTATTTGTATTTGTTTTACAGGTATTTCTGTATCATACTGAGTACTCTTTCCATCAACAAAAGGCAGAAGGCAACACATGAATGAATAACATGGTGGAAGTACAGAATCTATACTGTTTGCAAACTCCAAACATAAGTACAATTCGAAATCCAACATTTTTAATTTTATTTAGAGTTTTATTAAGTTTACATTTGTTCAAAGCTCCCTCTGATGTCTACACCACCAGTTAATATTTTAGTTGCTGAACATTTCACCATGTAGCGATTGGTGCTTCCTCTCCTATCACATGGAGACTGTTGTTTTTCTGAGAAGACATCGATTGACCCTAACTTAGGGTATTTATAATCAGTTGACATCCGAGCACACCAAAGGGCAGGGGAGGTGCTGAGGAATGAACTCAGCTGCTCTAGCGCTGGACATCTGTTCAGCCTATGCAGAAAATAACCACAAACACACACACACACACACACACACACACACACACACACACACACACACAAACACACACACACACACACACACACACAACACACCACACACACACAACACACACACACACACACACACCCACACACACACACACACACACACACACACACACACACACACACACAAAACACACACACACACACACACACACACACACACACACACACACACACACACACACACACACACACACACACACACAGCCACACACACACACACACACACAACACACACACACACACTACAAAGCACACACACACACACACACACACACACACACACACACACACACACAACACACCACCACTACACACACACACACACACACACACACACACACACATTTACTCTACCTCTACAATATCAGATTAACCCCTATTTTATTTCATAACATGTAATTGCCCTGAGAGCCCCATTAGATAAATAACTTCCTTGACATATTCAGCTCTCTCTAATCACTTTTCTTTCCACAAGTAACTTCCTTCTGCTCGTGCCCCCTTCTTCGTTCTTGTGCTCGGTTTCGGTCCCACTGTCCTTATTCTCATTTTCTGTCACAGTCCTGTCCTGTGTGTGGAGGTGAGAGCCCTCACTCTGTTCACTGCTTCCCCATGTCTCCGTTTACCAGCCCCGTGGTTTCTGTCCTCACACTGTCACTGTTCTCTTCCTGGCTGTCCTCCTTGTCCTTGTGCCTCTCCATCTGAGCTAGCACCCCGTTGGCTGCCGGTTTGTGTTCATCCTCAGGAGAGGCCGGTTTGGAGGAGTGGTTCCCCTGAAGCCCGTCCGTCTCCGTCTTCTTTGGGTAGGCGCGGTGAGCCGGGCTGCTGTTGGTCGACTTGCTGATCTGTTTGATCGGCAAGCCGTCTCTCTTGGTCTCTGTGCCGCTGCAGGAACAGAGAGGCAAAGGAGGAAGTCAGTCAAGAGCACGAGAAATAGTTCAAAACCTCTGAGGATAAAGAACTACAGGAGGGTTTTTAGTAGCGAGCCTGCACAGGGAGACATGTTGATAAGCAGAGAGCTTTTGCACTTGAGTGTGAGAGTTAAAAATAAAACATCCTTCTGTCTTACGAGGCTGCTGAGAGCTGGTGTAATGCAGAGGAAGTGTGTGTGTGTGTGTGTGTGTGTGTGTGCGCAGAGTAAAGATAGAATGGAGGTACAGTAATGAGGAGGAGAGCTACAACACGGCTCCCTGGAGGTGGATGCTGTCCTACTTCCAAGGAGAACTCACATTATATAATATACTGTAAGATCTCTTCTATGAACATGAATGAAATGGGAAAAACAGTTTGCTTGAGATAATTTGAAACACAGCACAGGAATGGAAGCTAGATTAAGACACACACACATGAATGCACAATGCCACCATTCATCTACTCTACATCCTGTACAGGCAGTCAGTCCAGCTGTTTCCCTGTAAATCACCCTCAAGACCTCCGAAGGCATCAACCCACAGTTCAGCAGCTTCTGTATCTGAGTTTCGCTTTGCCGAATCTCTTCTACAACTGGTCATAAATAAGATCAAGTACAAAAAAAATCCTTAAAGCCTCACTGTTTCTAGCAAAAAACAAGATAAATGGAATATAACCTTTACTGGTGCAAAAAAAAACAAGCAAGTGTTTTTTTTTAGCCTCTGTGACGATCGCTGTTGCGCTGAATGTCACTGTCCGGTAGAAACAGGAAGTATGTATAAATAGAGGAACAACAACAGGCTGGTGAACCGCTCTACGGATGAATCACTTTTGGTGCACCTGAGAGTAAGACAAAGTAAAACTATGAAAAGCAGCTAAGAAATACCGTTTAATACTGTTTCAGAAAAAAAGCACACTTTATTATGGCTGCGTGATATGGAAAACAATCAAACGTCATGATCTTTTTTTACCTTTGTATCAATATTGCAATGATTTTTGTAAGATTGACTTTCAATTTTTTTTTCAAAAATGAGATTTGTAATACACAATCATCAGTTCATCATGTTGATATAATGACCAAGTGATAGAACACCTTGGCGAGTTAAGAAAATGACATCATTTTCTCTTTAAAATCAAGAAAAGAGAAGAATAATGTGCATTATGATATCCAAAATCTAAGACAATAACTAGTCTCATATCATGTAATCCATATAATATCAATATGTTGCTCAGGTCTACACAAAACTTCTCCCTGCATTGTATTGTTGCACAAAAGCAGTTCTTCTTTGCATATAAATAGCACAGTAAGTGCTCGGGTACATGAGGAGAGTTTAAAACAGACTGAACAAGACAAGAATTAAGAGCAGCTTCCCTTGCCATGTGGCCGTCCTCTAAGGCAGCCGAGTGCCATGTGAACCAGATTAGTATATTAGTAGGCTAATTCTGTTCTCCAAAGCTTCGGGCCTTTCTCTTCTCTCTCTTCCCAGGGCCACCAGGGGGTAATCCCCACAGCCCCCGCAGAGTCGGAATAAAAAAAGATACACCCGATTGCACTGATTCACCTCACCTCAAAACTAGGGAAAAAAAGGATAGAAGGTGTGAAGAAATTCTGCGATTCGGCTTAGATTTAGTAATTTATTTTAGGGATCCAGGCCTGAAATGAGTCATTATGAGTCTGAGTGGGCATGCTACTGACTATTGTTAGGCTCTACTCCTGTAAGAGGAATTTGGACAGAGGGTCTTATTTTTGCTAACTGCTTTCAATTAGCATCTCCTGAATATACAAGTCTGTTGCTACAATCATAACCTGTAGCACTGCTTTACAAAATCCAACAAGCACCACCAACAGAACACTTTAATCCCCATAAAACCATACCATGAGTGGAGACCTCCTACCTTGTTCTCCTGGGCTTCATCTCCAGACACAACCTGTCCCACAACTGAATGAGCAGCGCTGTTTCCCCCCGCCTGTACAAATCTCCTTTCATCCCCTTTGCTTGGCTTGTGGACATCGGGCTAATCTCAGCTTGTTCTGTCTACTCGCTGCTATCAGTGAGTCAGGTTGAACACTTTAATCGAGGCACTTCTGCTTTTCATCCTTGAAATAACCGGCATTAGGAAATGTTAGGAAAGACAGAGTTTTCCGTCAGCTGGGATGACGACAGCCTGAATGAGGTTGATTTCGTCACACTGTCTAGTAAGTGACGTAGACGGAGTTATACCACAGGAAACCCTCCAAAAAAGAAATCCGAAGCCGGTCACACGCTTGGTGAAAGCATTGAAGAGGCACTTTCACTGAATATGACAGATCTGACAAATTAAGCAATTCCTGACACAAATCCTCCAATCCCATTTAATATTTTTAACGTTTTCAGTGAAAACCACAGACACAAACAGAGTCGTAGTAAGTAGTAAAGATTCCTTACTTGTTCTCCTCAAAGCGGCTGATGAGGTCTGACACCTTGGAGTGTTTTACAGCCCCTCTCCCTCCTCCTCCTCCCTCATCCATCCTCTGTTTTAGTGATGGTCTCTGTGCGCGGCCTAGTGGCGATGTGAGCTCCGTCACCGGGCTCTGGAGATGTGCTGGCTTTGGAGGCACTGCGGAGAAGAAAAAAGGAAAAGTTTGTAATTAGGTTCTATTTAAGATGCTGGTAGAAGATGCCTTTTAATTGACTCATAAGGAAACATGTATCTGCAATGCCCTTTAAGAACTGAAGGGGGCGATATAAGCTACCCCATCTTACACCACACACTGAGCTATATTACATGTAGTAAACAAGCGACCCAGCTCAGTGTAGAATAACAGAGCAGTTTTGCTTTTGTAATGTGTGAGGAATTTCCCTGCATGATTTACAGCAGCACAACCAATGAAGCTGCGTCTCCTGTGTGATCTGTGAAGAATGATTTACTGACATCGAATAAAAGAGGAACGAGGCTCAGGGTTCACTCATTCCAAGCTTACATAACTCTATTCCGGTTTCCACCATTTCCCTGAGCACATGTGGAGTCAGATACTGAAGGCATGGCTATACTTATGGACAATATCAAAGCAGGAGAAGGTCACAGGAGATGGAACCATCATTGTGTGGGTGTCAATACTTTCACATGTGAATCATAGATGGTTTGTGTCCTCTGACCCTCCCACTCTGTGGTTAAACTGCTGTGGGGAGTCGTGTGTACCTTGTGGTTTAGACGACAGCCGAGGCCTGAAGCTGGTGCTTCTTCCATTGACTCCTCTCCTGCTCCAGTCAGGTGTTCCCCCCCCCGCCCGACTCAGGCACGCCTGAACACTGGGTGAGTTGCTCTGTTTGCCCGCTGGGCTAGTGCCTAGAGCTGAAGGACACACAGAGAGAGGGAGAGTAAGCAACATTGACAGGACAGTATGGATGTGTAGGGAAAGTGATGGTGAATGACAAAGCACATGTCCCCTGTTGACCTCAACTCCAAACTGTAGTTGTGTCTTAAAGAAGATACCGCTCTGGGTATGTGTCTGTGGTGTTAAGCCTAAGTTCCAACCCAAAGGAAAAAGTGATCACACAAATAGATCTTTAGGACCAAGTTGGCTAATTGTAAAAACACCAATTTATTCTGGCCATGTCAAAAGAACATGCTGACAACGTCTTGTAGACTTCATCAGAGAACTCACTTTAACTACAAAACACTGTTCATGTTCAATAGTTATCACAATCATAAAGCTGCAATGATATTCAGCTAAAGAATAAAATAATCCACAAGAATTCTGATAATCTTGATTACTTTGAATGAATTGCAGAAATGCTTATTTCTAGCCCATCAAATATGGAGATGTCTTGCTTTTCTCTGTTATCTATCATAGTAATGGGAATATATCTTTGATATTGGACTGACAAAAGAAAGAAATTCAACCTTGGACACACTGGGATTTCTGGTGTTTCCTGACATTTGATAGACCAAACTAATAATTGATTATTCATAAAATAATCAGCAGATTCATCTCTAATGCAAAAAGATGTGTTAGTTGCAGTCTTACAGAATAGAATATCATCAGGCACCAATGATGGTATGGCAGATGACAGTATGGCACAACCGTATCCTTTCTTTATACCAGACTTTTGAAATGTAAAAATGTTCTTCTTTGTACCAATACCAATTGCAATACCAATAACTATATTTAGTTATTTAGAACATTCCAATTCATGCAATAGAGGAAATTCAACGTTATTTAGAATCTTTAAACCCATAGTACTGTGAGTGGGAATGTAGCTGTTTAGGAAATGTTGCAACCACTGGAGAACAAGTAGTTAAATGTGCGACACAGAGGCCAAGGCTTCCTTGTTTATTCTGTGCTTCAAGGCTGTACATAATAATCGAAACTTTCACAGCCTTGGTTGCCTTATTCAAACTCATAACAGCTAAGAAAACTCATTATAATTTAAGGCCTAAGGGTGGGCTGTGGTTTGAAAAAAACAAGCTAAGTGTGTCCATTACCCTGAGAGATCATTCCTTCAATATCTAATCCCCACTCATACACAGGGCATACTGTTTATATTCATTACTGTAAATATGTTTATGCTAAACAGCTGCGGGCTAAATATTAAAGAGTGTCAGAGAGTTGAGTTGATTATCGAGCTAATGATCCGGCTGATGATCAACTCCGGAGAGGCTTTATCGGAGCAGCTGGACGCAGATGGTACATCCTCAGTGTTTAGATAGAGCGGAGTGATTTAATGGAGCGACAGACACAGACTGGCAGTGTTTACAGTTTCCTAAATACACTCTCTCTGACCTCACGGCACACACACATGCATGTGGAAACGTGTGTTCTTAGGCAAATGTCCCTATATGGAACGACCAAGCAAAGAGCCAGGAGGTGCTCTCATTATCTTACAAGGTATTAGTCCATTAGTTTCCATTTAAGGTGGTCACTTACATGGGTGTGTGTGATTTCACAAGTGGCACTGATGCATGGGTTAAGAAGCAGAAATCAATGTGGCTTTGCACTTGGTTACCTTGTATGGATTAATAGTGTGCAGTGGAATCTAACAGGATAGAGCTTCAAGGAAACACCTTGGCAAAATCTGAACTTCCGACTAAATGCATTTGTATCTGTTCTACTTTCAGGTCTACAGCAATTGTCCTCAGAATAGCCCGCAGTGAATATGAAAGGAGAAATGTTCCATCCTATAATATAAATCATTGATAACAGGTCTTAATTTCTTGATTCCAAAAATAGATCAAACTAAAAGCGTCTGTGCTTCTGAGGCAGGAGCTGAATGTCTTTTCATGACATCGCAAAAACATAAATATATATATATATATGTTGTTGTTATTGTGGTTATATGTCATGCATGGGACTGTTAGATTCATGCTAGTTCCTTTTGTGTGTGGGAAGCTTAGTTTATGACTGCAATACAAATGCTGTTTTTTAAAAGCTCAACGCAGAATATTTTGTTGGATGTAAACAAGTTGTAATTTTTATTAAATATAGATATTTTTTCAATACATATTATCTTTTAGAATAGAGTTATTGGAAGAGTCTGGATAAAACGAGTTGGAAATAATGCTGTGCAGCCACCGCAAGAATCTTACTCTACAAATAGTATAATACTAAATGAATACTTCAATACAAATGCTTTTTGACATATTAATATAAATGTAGCCTAACCTTTAACTGCCACTGTGTAGAAATACTGGGTCAGCTTGGGCATGAGTAGATGAAAAGATATTGAAGAAATGTTTGCAGCAGCCCTTTAAGTAACTGAACCACTGCCATCAGAGTGAAAACATATGTCCTGTATACATGATGTGCCATTTTTAGTTTGTTTACTGACATGTTGCTACTATGTGCCAAAATGTTACACGAAGCCCCTTATTTATTTTCCCTACAGTGATCTTTATCTTACCAATCCTGAAACAGAAACAGAAAAAAAGACCACAGAATCAGTCACAGTTTCTATTTATAAAAACCTGACCGTAATTAAAGACAACAGCTCGAGCAACTGTCTGACTGGAAACGGTCCCACGCTGTGTTAGGGAGAGCAGACTTTCTTAACACAGACCCAAAAATTACCAATCAAATCCGAAAGCGGCCTCAGGAATTTGTCTTGATTATGTGCTTGGCTTCCACCGGTGGCCACATTAAGAGATTATAAAAAAACATCCACTTATGTACCATATTATATACATATATGGCTAAAAATGAAGTCCCCGCCTGCAGATCGTGCACTACATTTATGGTGGGAGATTGCAGGGGGTCCACCCTCCACAGCCTGGCTCTGTCTCCACGGGTTGTTATTAACTCTGTCAAACACCAAGCCCTCGCCTGTGAATCTGCACCCAGGCTGGAGGATTGCACTCGAACCCGAGCAAGTTGTGCAGGTATTTTAAGTGGTTAGTGTTAAAGCTAAGAGAACAGACATGTAAGAGATACATGTTGTACTGTTTGGAAAACGTTCTGTCCATTGTTTAGAAACTCATTGTAGTTATGATCAGATCAACTATCTTTAGGCCCTTATTTGAATAATTAAAGAGGCCCTATTATGCTAATTTTCAGGTTCATATTTGTTTTCCGTGCCTCTACTGTGGCATGTTTACAAGCTTTAATGTTCAAAAAGTGCTATATTCTTCTGAAGACGAGAGCCCAGTCTGCTCTGATTGGTTAGCTGGCCGGCTCTGTTGTCATTGGTGAAACGCTTAGAGATGTCCCGCCCATTAGTCTATCACTTATAATATGTTGGTGTGCTAGCCAATAGAGCGTGAGTGTTACGTAGTGATGCCACTATGTAACGGTAAACAAAAAGGACTACAATCAAAGTGTTTCAGGCAGGTGGGGGAGAGAATTTGAGGATTTTAGCCTTTGCAGATCATTTACATGCACAAAAAACTTTATAACACGCTATACGAAAGGGAAAACCCAAAAAAAGCCCAATAGGGCCTCTTTAAGGCACTGAAACAAAGCCACTTCCCTTACAGTAAAAATAGGATACACTTCCTTTCTCAGAAGTGTGATGCTGGGCAGGAACTGCTGCTCCTGGAAACACACTCTTTCTGGCATCTTCTCATTAAAGCTGACAGGTTGTCACGTAGAGTAAATTAGTAGCAGCCTACAGTATATACTAATACTTTTCCTGAGACTTGTTTTCGTCAAAGATAGAAATATAAGAGGAACTAAAGCTGTGCAGGGACACAGCTAGGTGAGTTTTATAAGACCAATTATATGGTGAGTTATCAAATATATGTATATCTTTATATCTTAATTGATGAAACAACTTCTCTCTCATAGGTCATCTGCGTTGCATATAAACTGAAACAACTTCGGAGCGATGCTTTAATCAAGGAAGTGCAACTCTGAGAAGTCTAACTAGTTGGGGGATGGTCAGACTTGTTGCCATGAAAACTAGCCCATTGAAGATGCAAAAGATTGACTTCACTGCTGAGTGGACCGAGCCTGAAGACATCTGCTTCCATCTCAATCAATCTGAAACTGCAGCACAGCGAGTACGAGAAATAAGAAATGCTCTTGTAAAGGTCAGGTGTCTGCAGCAGTGTAGATGAAATAACCTCTTGCAAAAATGCTGCTTTTCAAAGCACCAGCGGTTTTAGATTTCAAAATATCCTCTTTTCTTACCTAAAATATGAACAGCATCTCCCCTTAGTGTGTGAGTCTATCTAGGAGACAGAGCTCTCCAAAAACATCAGACCAGATTCATCTCCCTTTTCAAAGAGAATCTAGTTTCTGAGGTTTACCTGAGCTCAGCGTGTGTGTGTGGCACTACAGCTTTAAAGACATCACCCCCCCCCCAGCCCTCCAGCTCTGCCACATCACAGCAGCACAGGAATGAGTTTTCTGGAAGCCAGCAAAGGAGACTGAAGGAATGTATCACTGACACAAATTTATTTTTTGCAACAAAAAAATAAACAGAGTCTGAAAATAGTTAATAATCTCAACCAAAGCCTAAAATAGATTGACTCCAGGGAGGGCAAGGTCTTTTGGTTTGTTTGTCCGACACTTTGGTCCCGAGCAAAACAAACATTGGATGGATTGCCATTTTTTACGATTATATACGTAACAATCACTGCAGTAATTATCCAATGGAAGGCTCTTACCGATCTGCTTAGTTAAATCCAGGTGGTGACTTTTTCTTTGGACGGGCAGTGTACAATCATGACTTGTACGAAATTGTATGGCACTTTATCTTATAGTGGTTGAAATATTTCAGTCTGAAACAAGTGGTGGACCAACCCTTTTTTAATCTCTAGCAAGGGTGGTTTTAAGGTTGGGTCAGTTACCCTGTAATATTAAGTCTGGATCCCTCTCTGCCCCCCCCTAACTACGGCGAATATTTACACACTGC